CACTCTTCCAAATATTTTACATATGAATGTATTTAATCCTCATAAAACTCTGTAAGATAGGTACTATAGTGGTCTTCATTTTATAGAGAAAGAAACTGAAACATGGATAGGTTACATTGCTTCCCGAGGTCATAGAACCAGTGAGTGACAGAACCTAGATTTGAATCAATACACTTAGGCTCTTGACTCTGTGCTGTGGACCCTCACTTTACTGCTCTACTCTGGTGCTGGGACACGACCTGGAATAATGTTGGGAAAAAATGCTATAGAGAACATTACTAGATACTTAATAGATACAGAGCATTTCATTCCATCTTGAGTATTAAGGGAAGACTTTCTAAAGGAGTCATGATGCGAGTCGAAAGATTAGTTGGATTTCAGCAAGTGGAGAAGGAAAGAGGCCATGATGGATGGGGTGGGTCTGCATAGCTGGACAGAGGAGATGAAGGAGGGTGTTTCAGATGAGGGAAAGGAATGAGAAAGAATATGGAGGAAGAGTGGCTCACGGCCATTGGGAGAAGTAGTGGATACACTAGTCTGGCTGGAGAAGACAAACATAGCGCTGATGCAGGAGATAAAACTGGAAAGATATAGATGATGGAAGGATGCACTTGCTCCCTTAAGGCGATGGGATGCTATGGAAACTTCTGAGCTAGCAAATGGCATGGATAGAAAATCTTTCTGGCTTCCTCTAGACCGAAAATGGGCCTCCAGACTTGGAAAACCATCCTGTCCAAGGACTGAATTTAGTTAGGAGTTATGCTCAAATAAATATAGAGCATGGGTTTCAAAGGACAATTACACTATTTTGCTTACTTTCCTTTTTCATATGAAAATACTATTGTAGGTCATGAGAGGATACTAATGATTCAAGCAAACACAAATAGCCCTGTCCTCATGCAATGGGAGAAGACATAGTGCCCAAGAGAAAACAACTGAGAAGCATGTATGAACATTGTTACTATATTGCATATTTGAAAGGTGCTAAGACAGGAGATCCTAAAAGTTCTCATCACAAGAAAAAAATGTGTTTAATGAGGTAAGGTGATTGACATTAACTAGACTTATATAGTGTTGATCATTTTGCAATGGGTACAAATACCAAATCATTA